ATCTGCAACAAGAGCAAGCACCATCAGCTAATTCTGATTCCACTCAGCATAACCGACACAAAAAGCGGCAACCTCTTCAGGAAGTTCAAAATTTAGTTAACCATGTTGTGCAGCAGGAACCACCTCAACAATCACAACAACCACAGCAAAACACAAATGGAATCATTGAATGGCTGTTCCCCACAAGTATCTGCCAAACCCAAATAGGTGGAAGACCAATTGCAAGTAATGCTTGCACAATTATTGCTTCAATGTGGTGCCGGAAGTTTCTTTTAAAAACATTGGCCATCCCATCTAACAAAAGTGATATCCGAGCTATGACAAGCAGCTACAAACAAACAATTTTGATTGGGAACTTATTGTATCAAGGTTTGAATCTACCTAACAACCAACCAAATTTGGAAGTTCGAGATGTGGTCAACAAGATCAAGGATCTGAACTTGCAAATTTTGCACGATTTGGGATTCTTCAATGTGGATGACATTAAAAAAAATTTGTTCATATGCTTCAAGGAGGGAAAAGGCATGCTGGCGTTTTGATTATCCCACCAGCCAATTCAGTGGCCATACTTATTGATAATGGAAACCTGGCTGTGTTTGACAGTCATCAGCATGGCAATCAAGGTGGTCTAGTTCTCGTATGCAAGCTTGCAGAAATACATGAACTTTTCCATTATCTTGGAGAAAAACATAACTTGTGTGGCAGCAACTTTGCCGAACTTGTTATGAATGTAATATAGAGCATGACATAATTTGTTGGGAAATGTTCAATTTAAATAAAATATTGCAAATCAATGTACATTTATAAGAAGTCAGTAAATATATCGTTTTCAATCATTTCAATAATTTGTGTTTTATTGTACAATTAGTGAACACAGGCAAATGAAGGCATCTATTAAAAATCATTCAATTGGTTGATTAACTAAGTTGAAACTTAAATAAACAAAGCAAGTTGCTAACGGTATATGTGAAACAAACCAATGCCATTCATCAGACAAATACAATTAAGTATTAAACAAGATTCTATTTTTGAGAAAAAATTGTATAAAGGTTGAGCTCAACTTTTGTATGATATTCAGACATTGAAAAGTTTATTTATTATTAAATTTACATGACCAAGTTTGGCTTTGAAAAAAACATATTCGAAATATAAATGGTACTAAAGTTACTTCTAGCAATACAAGAAAGCTAAAAATGCCCATTTGTAGTGGGAAAGCACATGCAACTCTTCGCGTGAATCGCGCCATATTAGCCTCCTGCACATAATAATAGTAATTTCAGCCGAAAGGAATCCCAGTTGTTTGGAATGTATTTTAACAGCATGCTCAGTCGCTCAGATTATAGCGTGCGCTTTTAAAGGCGAAATTTGTCTTGAAGGGCAATTTTTCACTCAAAACGATTTTGAATTTATTTTTTCCACAACTCTAGAGGATTCAAAAATAGGATCATAATTTTGGAGATTTCGGTTAGATTTTTTGTAATTTGGCTCTGTAGGGACACGGTTTAAACACTGAATGAGATAAGAAAATACAACGAGATATAATTTAAAATATTTTTTGTTCTAGAAGGAGTAACGGGTTGATTTTCCTATACAAGAATGAACAAATTAGAACCAGAAACTATGACAAAAGATGAACCTAGTAGTTCAAATAGATTTGCGATCCTTTTATCCAATATACCGGGCATCAAAAGTGAACCAATATGCAATGTTTGAAATACAACCCAGGATTTCAATGGGAAGGGCAATTTTTATGTCAACAAAATACTGCTTATCGAAAGCAATAAACAATCGGATTACAAAATTTAGTACAAAAAATTTGGAGATTTCGTCAAGATTTTGAGCTGTCGGAACTTTGCTTGCCATACCCCTGTCCTGGGCCTAGAACGTCAACAGCTGCGAAGGCATGTGAACTTTTTCCTCACCCTGTACAAACGTGAAATTATCTGGGGAAAACACAACCAGAACTGACACCTAAAGTTGTAAGGAACATCTTACGTACCTTCTCTGGTTTCATTCAGCAAACGTGTAGCTGACAGACCCTTCTTTCAGCACGCGCGTGGCAAAGTTGTGTTCATTACATCGGTCTACTTCTTCGTGTATAGATGTGCTCATCACTCTCACAAATTTGGCTCAAATCACTTTAAAATTCGTCCTCTATCAAACCATGGGTACCAGTTCAAGTACAAGTTTGTTTTACGCCTTTTAAGCAAGCGAGTTACCGCACAATTCACGAATAAATACAACAGTGTGAAAGGCACAACTACAAGTCCAAACCAAGGTATCTTTGTCGCCATTATTTGAACAAAATTTACCGTTAAAAAGGACATATTTAACATCTGAAGCAAAGTTGGTGTGCTAATAAAGAACTCACCATTCTTTAAATATCTTGATCATCGCTGAGAGAAGTTCAGATCTCAAACAAACTTTCTCTTTGTTGTTTTGATTCAAAATTCGAATTCCAACGAAAAAATCAGATTGTGCCAGCAATTTCTCTGCACAGCGACAACAAATTTCCCAGCTGCTCAGACATACAGTACTGTCCGTTGAGAAAAGCATTTGCTGGTCATTTGCACTTTTCGTGTCTGACAGTGTCCATGTTCGGCTGCTAATTTTCAGGCTTGCTAAACATAGTTTTTTACGTTTGTTTGCCGATTGAGAAACGTACTAAAAATGTAAAAAATGAATATAGTCTTAACCAAGTGGAAAAGTATACATTCAAAAGATTCTCTTAATAATGAAACTGAAATTGAGCATTCACGATATTTGTGTACTATTGTATACAGGGTGTTCCCCAAAAAAGTGACACTATAGAAATGATCCTATTGTTATAATTTGAATTAGCGATGCAGCTATATCCATGTCGGTGTATCGGTATCGGCGTAAACACAGTTGAATGGAATTTTTAATTACCAGACGCATGAAATTCTGTGCTTAACAACAGTAGGATAATTTTTATAGTGCTACTTTTTTTGGACACCCTGTATAATATGTGTGTTCGTTTACTTTAGGTTGGCGAAAATTCCATGTTAGAGACCAGTTGTGGGTAAGTTATATTTCAACCTCTCTCTACTCAATGCGAAGATTTGTGCAAGAAAAATGCAGCAGCGATTTTTGATTCTAATTTCCCCTCGATTCCATCAGTTTCGGTATCTGACGTCATTTTGAAGTGAGGCAAGTGGGAACTGTCATCAGGTTAACGAGATTTCACAAAACAAAACGATGGCAAAGACAATCAGACACCCGCGATCATTAACTGGATGGCACTATTTATAATAATTATGTAACATGGCATGTGAGTGAGTTATAAAATGGTTAAGAACGAAAGGGTTGTCTGATTTTGTCTATTGTTAATTTTGACCATGAGGATTTTATAGAACGGTTGGTAGGTAGTTTTAAATGCCCCAAATATGAGCGTATACTCGCCTTGACTTGGTTGTAGAGGTGGAAAATGTTTTTTTCCTTTCTGGGTTTTATGACTCAAAATTTTCTACAAAAGATTGCAATATATAGGGAAAAAATACCAAACTTGTCATTTGTGACCTTACATGGATTATGTTCATTAAGATGTGTTGTTGTGTGGAGCAAGACTGACAAGGCATACAAGATAAATCCTAAAGTAGTCATGGTAGTTACAGTCTGACAGGACTAAAAACAGATTTCCTATACTGTTAGGCCATGTGGATATTTTCGATGAAAGTTTTCCGCTGTAATTTATGTAACAAATACTGAGTGTCGGGAAAACCCAACAGGACAATGTTTGATTTCATGTAACGTAAAAGCTATAAAAGCTATCGCAATTCATTTAGGAAGGACTAACGTATATTTTGATATAATAGCACTTGAATTTACATGCAATATTGACGGCGCTATTGATGTTTGAACGTTGAATATTGTTTTTGAAAATGCCAAAATTAGCATAAAACATGCAACCTTATAATTACCGATGTATTGTTATACTTGTTAAATAATATTAAATGTTTTTATTTTAACTGTATCTCGCTCATTATTGCATGTAAATTTAAGTATACTGTTGCTGTATATATCAAAATCTAACAAGCCTTAAAATATCGGTCGGTCACGGACATTGTCCGACCCATTCGTGAAATTGTCCGACTATAGAGAGGGACACCACCGGACATTTTGTCCGACCAAAGTGAAACTGAGGTTTATTGTTTGTCCGACCCGAGTGTATTGGTGTCCGACCGAATTGTAGCTTTGTCCGACGTAAATCAAAATGTACCGGCTGACTAGAGGCTTGTATGTTAAATGGAAAATCAGAGTACTATTGTATAAAAGGTGAACTGGAAATGTTGTTTTAACGTAGTCGAGCGCAAGTCTTTTTTAGTACTGCTGTTCTGCAAAGCAAGTTAATTTTGGCTTGGAAATAAGTATGAAAGAAACAAATTATTTTTTATCTTTACAACATTTACCGTTTATTCATAATTCATTTGTGTCATTCAGACTTATTTCCGAGTCAAAACTGAACTGAAGGTCATCGGACATATGTCCGACCCAAACTCAACGTCACCGGACATTTTGTCAGACGGCCCTGTAAAAGATATTTTAAGGCCTGCGACTAAGTTAGTCCTTTCTGAATGCATGCAATGATTGTTATTTCATTGCGATAGCTTTTATAGCTTTTACGTTACATGAAATCAAACAGTCGTGTCCAGTTTTTTTTTGGACCCCGGTAGATTTATTTGGTATCAATAATCCGGTATTTAGTAATTTAGATATTCAATCAGTGTTAATTTCAGAATTAGCAAACATCAAAAAATGTGTGGGAAAATTTCTGCAGAAATGTTGATCCCAGAAAAATTTCTGGAAACTATAGGTTCCCAGGTATCCTGATACTTCTTCCACCTCTCGAACAACCTTACGTATAGTCAGCAACCGTGCATTTAGCTACACTGTTAAAACTGGGCTTTTACCGAATAATGTACTGTTATTTTTTTCAGTAATGTACTATAATCTTTTACAGTGAGTACACGGTGATTGCAAATTACGGTGTAATAGACTGTTTTTAATAATTAGCTGCAGCCTTTTTGCGGTTAACAAATACACACTTCGGTTAAATAACTGTGTAAAATGACTGTACATTCTCTTGCGTCTCAGGTGTTAAGACCGTGTTGACCAACTGCACTTTAAGCACACTTTTACTATATGACGCGTTTTCAAGCATGAGTGTCATTTTACGCTGAATGTTCTGTTTGTAGGTCGCCACATTACGCATGTCCTGAAGTAGTCAAGGTATAAATTTATACATTTATGAGATATTGTTTACCTGATGTAGTATATACAGCAACAGGACGTCCTTTTATCGCATTGCGTAGAATTCCAAGAACATGAGTGCTGCTGCTACAGCAGTGAACAGCTGCGCTACTAGATCTGGATAGTTCAGCCTGAAGTGGTTCTTGTATTTTGGCTACTTCGTTGCCTGAATTTCATTTTCATATGTTTGTTGCAAGACTTCGAATTTTACGCAATGTGAGGATTTCACAATCTTAATTATAAATAGCTATACTGCATGTATACATGCAGTTTTGGCGTAGTTCTCACTCAAGTGAATATATTTATTTATGTTGATAGCTATACTGCTTCTGTCAAACTATCACGTTCTACCAACGTTCGCCTTACTACTATCAGAATTTCCGAGGAAAACGTCTGATACTAGAGATAGCCAAACACATTTTTTCACTTATAATTTAACCTATCAATCGAATTTTGTAGATTAACGATGTCTCTCTGTTATATTTACGTCATGTAGGGCATAAAATACGACGGGAGAAAAGCAGACATCTGGAGTTGTGGAGTGATTCTATATGCTCTAGTTGTGGTAGGAAAAATTATTGTATTTCTATAAGTTACGCATGCATATCAAGTTTACTGTGTTTCTCAAGAAGCGTCTAAGCCCTGACAGGAAACGAACCTCGCAATCTCCGGAAAGACACTCTAACTAGTTACAAAAGTGAGTTTGGCAACTGGCAACGCCAGGAAACAAAATTATCATAACGTACATGTATTGCAGTTTGAACAACTACGGCTTACAGAATGCTCAAGGGAATACAACGTATAGTCGGCTTTGCCTTAAGCCTGGTTCACACTATAGTGAGATACGTAAGCACAATCATAAGAAAAGACAAAATAGGCCTAAAATAAAGAAATACAGTGACGCATGCGACATAACTTTCGACATAAGCACAAGCTAAGGGAAACTGAGGGAAACAAAAGACATTGAAAAGAAAATTGTGTTTGCTTTCTCTGTCTCAAAGATAAAATTTTATTTTGTATTCCCGCTTATGCTTGTTTCACTCCTGTGAACCAGACTTTAGAGTACATGTACAATATTGTATTGTTAATGATCACGTCTTCGTTGCCGTTGTATTTGCCAAACTCACTGAAGTGTCTGATGGGGGAGACAATGTTACATTATAGAGTTGTATGTGCGTTACATGACTACTATTTGCATGTCCAATTATCAGGAGGTTATGTGTTTCGACTCCCGTCAGCGCTGGGATGTTTTCTGAGATATAACCTTAATTGCTACGCGCGCACAACTAGTGGAAATTCCTTGCATGCTGTGTTGTACTGCAAAATTTGAACATAGGTCTCCGGACAAAATAATGAGATACAGCGCATTGTTTTTCGTAATTTGATTTTTGACGTCAGCCATTGACCTGCAACCAGTGAGCTCCATATATACCTGGAGTGAGAACTCAAGTCCAAAAAGTGAAGTCAGCTTCGTGTTAACCGCGCAGAAAAAAACAACAGAAAGGGAATGAGAATGATGTGCAATCAATAAGTCAATAACTCCTTCAATTTCCGCCATCTTGGCAAGGAGTGTACCGAAAATTCGCATTTTGACTTCGATTGAAAGGCTAATATTATGATTTTATGAACTGAAAACTTGATTAGCGACACGGTCCGTTAAAAAAAAACTGGATTCAGCTGGAAAATGGTATATAAACTGTTTACGACCTTCAGAGCTACTGGACGTCAATGACCGCCATCTTGGCTTCACTTTTCTCATAGTCCGAATGACTGAAGTTCTTACTCCAGATATATATATATATATATATATATATATATATATATATATATATATATATATATATATATATATATATATATATATATATATATATATATATATATATAAATTAAAAATTAAAGATTAAAACCTAAGAATGTTCATTAAAAATTGAAAAGCACTACAGTTCTGTTTCGAGAGGCCCTTTCTAGATCCTCTCTCTTCAGGTGCATGATCAGATTACACTAAAATATGCCATTTATATACCGATCGTTCATAGTCATAAAGCCTAACCGTTTTTAATTAAAAATTTATTTGCATGACGGCATGCACTAGCCAGTTCGTTTCTTTTGTTTAGAGTACAAGTTTCCGGTTTGCAAATGATGAAATATTTTTCCATTATACATAAATTACATTTTTTCCCAGTGTTTGAATACGGATATATATATATATATATATGGAGCACACTGCCTGCAACACGCTGTACAGCACGCGAAATGGCGTGAGCAACACCACTTGTGAGTTCTTGGTTGGAATGGTCGCGCGTATTTGTTGATATAACATAAAGTTTTGTTTTCGCGATTATTGCATAAGAGATTTTGCGAGGATTAATATGTCGGGCTACCTTAATCCTACACGACTGATAGTCTGATATACTGGTTACGTTGGTTGTCGTGCAACAAGATCCTACAGTATGGATCTCGGAATAAGTCGTGGCCGAAACCGAGACACAAACTGGTTGCACATGCAGGTGGAGTTCTTTACATAATATACTGTATTCTTCATTTTGCAGGGCGTTCTACCCTTTGATGACGATAATTTGAGACATTTACTGGAAAAGGTTTGTGCTAGTTCTCTTGTATTAGAGAATAAACACGGTATATAATGTGAACGGTGCGAATAATCGTTGGAAAGTAGCATAGACTGATATTTTGTGCAAGACACAATTAGGAATTGCGGTCGCAAATGACACCTAAAAAACGAGCTAGTTCATCTTAACTGAGCAATATATGAGCATCGTAGACTCCGGCCGATTAATTTACGAGTTTCGAACGTAATGCGAGAAACGAGTAAAAGCTCGGCAGGATTATATTTCAAACCATTCAATAAGTTTTTATTATATGACGAACCTCAAAAATAGATTTCCCTGGCTTTTTTCGAAGAATTGGCATGCGTTTAATTGGCGCAGTACTGTAAACTGCAAATCTTTTCAGAATTTCAGATGCAATGAAAACAAACATCCAGAAACAAAGTTACGAAATTGCATACCAAATTAGGAACAACTTTTCTTGAACAACTTGAATTGAATTGGATAAAATATCAAAAACAAAGAAAACTTGTCAATCAAGTGTCTCAACCAACTAAAGTTTTATCTGCCACAAGCAAGAAATCTGTTTTGAGTTGATTACATGAAATATTGCGATTAAAAGTATTTAAAAAGGTGAATTAAGTGAAGAAATAGTACCTAAAGAACAGATTTCTTCAACTCTTCATTGTTATAACCATGTATACTGGCGATTCTGCAATCGAAAAATGCAGTTTTAGGCGCAACGATGACTGAGGTTTTTTGTAGGAGCCCAATATTTTACGCCCAAACAGCCCAATTACTTCAAAAATGTTCAAGTAAGTTGTAATGATTCGCAACATTTCATGAAATGCAACATTTCGCGGCCAAACTTTTTTCTTCCCCAACTTACTGCCATATCGTAACACTGTATTTTTGTGCTTTTTTTAGGTTAAAAAAGGAGTATTTCGTATTCCAGATAATGTTCCGTCTGAATGTCAGAGTCTTATTAAAGAAATGATTAAAGTAGATCCAATTAGAAGAATATCGGTATGTTTTGAAAATTAATAATAGTTAATAATGTAAGATACTGTTTATTTAAAGTCCAGGCGTTCTTATCAGTTTAGAAATATTGTGATATGGTTTAAAAAGTATGGGTATATATCATACTTTACTTGAAATGATCGAAGATCGTAGTATATTTTCAAGATTTTCATGGTGGTTTGCAAATGCGAAATTGGAAATTATGTGAAGTTCAGTGAAGTTCTTTCCTATCATTTCAGGTCAATATATTATAAACACCATCACTTTATATAACCAATGAAAATAGTTATTTAATTTTGAAGCAATATTTCAAATCCGACTATGAGGACTAGACTAGATTTCAAGTTGGTCATGTCTGAAGCGAAACAGAGGACTGGATCAAAATGTGAGGATTTGAAATGTAGTCCAGTCCGAATTGGAGGATTTGAAATGACATCTCATACGAATAAATCACTACTTAATTAATTCTGATCCAGTCCAAGAACTGAATTAATTTTGATCCAGTCCTAGGACAGGATCAATATACAATCATCAGGTATCCATGTGAGCATATCATGTGAGCAAAATAAAGCAATATGGTTGGATAATTTACTCATAAATTATTAATGAGTTTGACATTGATTATGCCTGAACATTATATAACCGATATCCGGTATCTATTCGTCATATTCTGTGTCCAACCGGATAGTAAAATTCTGCATGTATCCGGAATTATAAACACCTAGCTAATTACATCACCTTTTCAGATGTTAATGCTGAAGCGATTTAGGTTATTCTGGGATACCAGTAGAACTAATAGAGAGTTGAAGCTTCGCGTTATACGTCAAACGGCAAACGCCAGGCAAAGCAAATTTTTATGGTATCAGGCAATAAAGAGTAAATGAACTTCTGTTTTAAAACTGCAATGCATGATTATTCTTTCGACACAAGAAAGAAAATATGAAACGAAAACGTTCAACGAAAATTTTGCCAAGAAAGTTGGAACCTGCCGTTTGCCGTTCCCGGAAACGTGAAGCTTAAACTCCTTAATAAGTTAAAATGCACACTCGTGTGATTGATTAAAAATTTAGATCTTCATTTTTAAACCGAATCAATTGGTTTTATTATGTTTTCCTTGCAGATGAAACACATTTTAAATCATCAATTTTTCAAAAGGTACGCTCTTTGTTATAAACTTTGCTGATATCTGAGAGTTACTGTGCGAGAGAGAGAGATACAGTACCATTGCCTGAAAAATATAAGCAGATTTTACGTTTCGAGCGAAGGCCCTTCATCGAGTACGAACTTCCCGACAAAGGAACTTTGCTCGAAAGGTCCAAGTTGTGCTTATATTTTAATTCACTGGCATCGAGCTTTGTTTAAACCTCCTTTTCATGTTTCACTTGGCAAGGGGTCCACGGGCCTTGAAAATTCTGGAAAGTGAATTGAATTGGAAAAAATTCTAGGACTGGAAAGTCCTTGAAAATCAGTAGAAGTCTTTGAAAGTCCTGGAATTAATTTCCTTAACCTCCAGCGGTGCCAACATTAGTGATTTTGATTAAAATTACTGAACAAAGTGAATTATTTGCGGCAAATCAATGCCATTTTCAAAGATTTTTCCCAGTTCTAGGTCCTTGAATTTACTGAAAAAGGGCCTTGAAAGTCCTGGAAAAGTCCTTCAATTTCACCTTCACCAAAGGGTGGACACCCTGACTTGGGAAATTGAGAGAGTACTGAGTCAGCACTCAAGCGCCAGAGTTGGTCTCGGCCAACGCCTCGACCAACTCTCACGCTTTTTCGTGCTCTGCCAATTTCCCGCGTGCTCAATAACACGATTGAGCACGCCAAATCATGAAAAAATGTTAATCAATAAATAGATGTCTGGAGAATTTCCTTAAAATTGAATTTTACTGTTGACTGTTACGAAAATGCCATTAAACATATTTACTTTAATTACATATCTACTTCTTGACCAACCCAATAGATCTTTTATGAAAAAATCATTTTTCTAACGAGGAGCTTACGACTGGAATACATTACCCAACGAAATTTTATATATTCATGAGCAATTGTCGACATATTCTTTTTAAAGCAGTTCTTACTAAACACCCATGTCGATCCAGTGACTGTTAACATTGCTTGTGATAATTTTTAAAAAATCATACAAAATCATATTACAGATGCTGCAATTTTGTAAATGTTCTCTTTTCTTTTAAACAACCCCTTTAAAAGCAGCAATTATAAGCTGAAGGGTTATTGTTTGTAAATAAGTTTTGATAGACTGTATAGTGCTTCCTCTATACATAAACGAAGCCAATGCCCACCATGTAGGTGTGACCAGCACAAACATATTGTAGTGTTGGTGACATACCAGAAGAGGTTCTGTTATCGGCGGGAAAGGATAAACACTGTTATTATATACACAAGGTCTGGATATGAGGTATTCTGCAATCCGATTGGTTCTCTACTAGCAGGATATTAGCTCATATCCTGCTAGTAGAGAAAAACAAAATGGCGGCTCAAACTGAATTTCCGACGTTTGCGAACGAGAAAACGGCAAGTTGTTCGCTGTTTATAGCCTATACAGGATTATAAACACAATGAAAAACTCCCACAAATTGTTTACAAGTTAGCAAATGAATTTTTAAAATTTAAAATGGTTAAAAATATTTTTTTTGAAAAAATAATCGGCCAAAAGAGCGAAGATAAAAACGTATAAACAAAATAGAAAAATATTGAAAATATTCGAAAAAGTCTGTGAATTCAGACCTTGTGCATATAATAAAACAGTTATTCACTCACTCTCGTCGAATGTTAGCGATAGCAGATTCAGCACTGTGCGCCTCATCGGCTATCAGCTCAAATTCGACTCGAGTTCGTAGAATAACTGTTAATTATTGTCTGAAGAGAAATTTATCAACAGTGGCCTCTCTTCCCCTTAAATTTGCCCATGAATAGCTAATGAGGTCACAGCAAGATGGCTGCCACAAGTGTCATTATCTAGTGTTTAAAACGTTACTCGTTCGAAGAAATATGGGAAGCCATATCTTTCAACTTACATAGAAAAAGACATTTGCTTCATAATGTATCTATTTTGAACACGTTGCGATCCGATTTGCAGAGATTTTGACAGACTTTAAATTCTCATCTCGTTATAAATATTCCGACTTCAAAGTTTGGCTGATTTTTTATTGAATTCAAAATTTTACTCCATCCAGTTCTAGATCGGAGATCAGTGTTGTGTCGGCTTATAGGGATTCGACTGTATTTAATATTTTGTTCTGTTTTTAGTGTAGACATACATGAACAACTTCCCGTACAGAGAGTTGTATCAACAGAAACCATATTAAGTGAGAACGACATTGATCCTGATGTCTTAGCATCTATGAACAGTTTGGGATGTTTTCATGATAAAGGAAGATTGATAGAAAAATTGCTTCGAGAAGAGTAAGTGAAGTTCTATCCGCACTTTAGCATACTGTTCATAATCAGGCCCGTAACTAGCTATTGTATGAGTGTGAGATTTTTTGTGAAAAAAATGAAAACAGGAAGACTTCAAGTTTAGAGAAACCAGATCCAGAACGAAATTTGTTCAATTTCTGATGAAAGGTAGAAGTATAGCGTCCCAAATATTACCACAAACACGTTTTCTATCATACATCTGATCATGTTGGACCAAGAGTACTTGAATTCTTATGATTGGACACTTGTAGTACAATTGTGAGACACACTATGAAATTACTGATTACTGATTTTTTATTGAAATTGCCCCCCAGAATGCAGGAAATAGCGTTTCTAAATCAAACATTTTCTGGGGGATCATGACCCAACGACTCGACTCGGTAAATCTATAATTCTAGTTACGGACCTGATAATTCAAACCAAATTGCGCATACTGTAGCTGTGGAAGTTATAGCTAGGGAATCAATGAGCATGGCTACCGCCATAGATTAAAAAATACCTTGAGAATTTTCAAGAACGGCGAGGTAGCTAAAAGAAACTCCAAGACGCAAGAGCGTCTCTTCAAATCGATTGCGAATCTCACTTCCATACTTGATTAGCTTCGGAATCGTATAACCTCGCATGTGATTGGTTATTTGTAAAAAATATGGCGGAATTGACTAGATCCATTTGAAGATTCCTGCGGTTGATAAGGGTACAATTACCTGACAAATACAAGGGGAACTTCAAAGAAGATTGGCTAACTCCTCAAAATTAAAATCTACAGGCTGAAAGAACTTATCTATTTAAACGCAACGATAGATGTTCGTTTTTCGGAAGGCTGTGTTTTTCCCGCCATGTCATTATTTTTGAAGGAATCCGCCACTAACTGTTGTTTGCTCTATCCATTAGGTGATATCCATTATTGCGCGTATAATAATAACGCGTAGTTATTTTCTGGTTTATTTGAAATTTGCGAAGGGTAAATCCCACTTTATGGGGAAGATTTACAATATAGTTATGAGTGTCCGTGCCAGGAATTGTAAAAATATCATAACTAATTGATTTCACAAACACTATCTATATCACCGCAAAGTTGGAAATGTTTTTGTGTTGTTATTAAATCATACAGTGCACTGTACAGGGAAAAGTGCGCGCACTCAGGGCGGGGGAGGGGTAATGTCAGGCTCTGATTGCAGGGCACATTTTTATTCCATAACATTTGAGAATAATCATTGCTCAGCTTTCTATAATATATAAAAATTCTCCCTCAAATCTTTTTTTTATTTATGTCTTCGGGAAGTTGCCAAGCCCTGTACATGATAAAATTAATATACCTGCAACTTTCTTTGTATTCTTATAGAAATAATATGGAGAAAGTCATGTATTACCTTCTTCTTGAGCGAAAAGAACGCCGACCTTCCAGTGCCGATGTTGTTCCCAAGGCGATACGGAAGGAGCATGCTCATATCTTAGGCAAGTTACACCATTATTTCAAACTTTCTTGAATGTCGTGCTATCAATGGTTGCATGATTACAATACATGGAGAGTTTTCAGCCCAGTTAGCCGGACTGAAACTTCAGCCTAGCCTAATGCTTTTAATCTTCTTAAAACGCAACTTGGTTTGAGCCACTCGATTTTTGGCTGAAGCGGAATAATACGTCATGTAATCGCTTTAGCCTGGCTAAAGTAAGTTGTTGAAAATACCATCGCTTAAAATGGTTTAAATGGTTTTATTTTTGTTCGGTTTAATTCCCACAGTCTTGCACCAGTAAAATACTGTCTACTATATTTAAATGTTTTAAAGAAGCCAAATAATTGAAGACTTGATCCGGTTCGAATAGAAATTTAAACTCAGCCACAAACGTAATTTTTCATTGTTTTGTGATTGTATTAATCGGTCACCGTTAAGAAAAGCTATGGAATGCGGTGATGCGTAGTGCGAAAATTTCCCTGAATTTAATGGCATCAAGAGCTTTTACTAGCCATATCAAGGGTGATTTGTTGAACCAAATCAAACTTAGCACGCCACAACGGCTAACTTAGCACGACTCTGTCATTTTCTATTTGTTGTTATGTTTGAATTCAGTTCTCTTATATCTATTAAGAATCAAAAACACCCTTCTTAACCGTGATACTTTGACTGACATTAGGCTGTCACCCTGTATTAAGCCGTCACTTGCAAAATCCCCGAGGGTGACCATTAAATACCGCTAATTCAGTATATTTACATGCGTGCATTTCAAGTGAATGTGTGCATAAAATTTTCTTTTTAGATCCTCCACGAAAACGAGTAGATTCGTGTGGCTCTCCTCGCCTCAACCGATCACATGATCCGTAAGTTTAGTGAAAATATTCGGGGTTTTTAAGGACCACTCGATACAGCTGATGTTAATGGTTTTCTGTATATGAGAATTGCGAGTAAAATTTATACACTGTTAGTAAAAACAGATTAGTGAATTTGAATTGGTTGTCTTCGATGTACTTAGGCTATTTGATCAATATTTTATTGATTAAAACAACCAAAACGTGTATGTTTAACCAATTTTTCGGTTGTTTTGACCAAATTTAACCAACACGACGGTTAATTGTGATTTTCCGCTCCGTTTTCAAACCGCTCCGAGGTATAGTGTGAACTATTTTAAAAGTAACTGTAATGATTTCTGTTTGTTTTATTTTTCTCAGCAACGATGTGCCACATTTGCCTTATCGACCACGTGCTGGAACAGACATCAGTTCGTTCAAAAGGTAATTTGATAACGCTGCCTAACATTTTAATATATTTTTATTACCACAGTTAGGCGGCCTTGTCTACCACTGTAGTTATCTGCTTGAAGATAATTTAAATTTCCTGCAAATTTCTATGGTCATGTCAGATTCGTATATGCAACCTAGCGATGATTGGTGAGATATGGACTCAATGATATCCCGTCACATCCGCTCATTTCTCTTGTATATCCCAATAAAGATTGACTTTTTGCCAAGATTGTCTTTGTGGCTAACGTTTATAGAATTTTCTATCGAAACTATACTGATAACTCTTATTATTATACGCATTGCCTATATATACAATCTCCTTTTTGATTGGCTGTTGGCCTACAAATAATTCTTGATATTGTGTGATTGTGATGTCACATCTGCAGATAATAGGTTTCTACATGTAAATAAGACGTCAACCCTGCAGAGAATATTAATCGAAACGCCAGCAAAAGCCAGCTTCTTTACATGCAGAAAATATAGAGCCGTGGGGCGATATTTGCCTCGGTAACCGAATGTGATGTACAAAATCATGTTCATATAGTCTTCAGTAGGAGGTCAATATATATTTACTGTGGCGTTTAGCGGAGGACTAGTGTATCTCTCATCCTCAATACGGTCTATATAATGTTTTTTATGGCTATCCTCTGAATTTACTGTGTACTTTTTCACGCGCTCGTCACTGAAGACGCTTTTTAAGGCCTGCGGTCATGCACTGAGGAGCCAAATTTCGCTCAGTACTTTGACTTCGCCATAAATGGTTGCGTCGTCCAAATGGTTGTCTTTCATCCTCTTAGGCTTGCCATTATTAACGTAAATTTATTAAATAACCTCTTACATTTACAAAATTACGATCCCTGTTATTGCACGTCAGCCATGTAGAGAATAATCGCAACGCCAGCAAAATGCGAAACCGATTTACAAAACCCATTAGACATGAACGAAGTGGAAAACACTAAACAAGCTATACAAGCCCATTTTCCACTAGGCGAATTTGTTCGGGCCACTCAACGTGGGAACTGATCCAACTTTTAGAGTTTTCAATAAGGGGTTCCAACAGTATCTTGGAAGGCCCTTGCCATAGTCCTAATACTATTATATTAAAGCAATTTTGTTTTTCACATCTCATTTTTGTTTCATTTAATTTTGAGACATTTTTTATAATTGCAGCATAGCAGCAAGCCGTACATCAAGCGTTCCTCCTGCAAAAAGCAAAACTCCGCCAGGAAGTCCTTGGTGGTCAAAAAGACCATGGAGGAAAAAGTCAACAGGAGACGCATCTCAGCAACAAAGTCCAGAACTCTGTAAGTTGCCATGCAAACTTTGATTTATTTAGAAACTGAAGCGCCATTCTGGGCGTAAGCCGGGGCGAGGGTGCTAAAGCATTTAAACTCGAAGTGTTCGGTGATATTTAGGAGAATATAGGGTTTAGAAATCATGCTCTGTTTAATTTCAGTGTAATTATGCAATAAATCAATTCAGTTTATTTTGTTTTGTTTAGCGTCGTGTGAAAAAGAATATTCGTCAAATATCTCACTAGATACTTCACCTAGGTAAGTATTTTTTTGAACTGTGCAAGGGTCCAGAAGCTTCCCTGAAGTGCGATGAATTATTTCTGTGTTGATATGACTATTTTTACCCCTTCTATAATATCCCGCCTCGGTGGAACGACATTATTTCTAAACATGGCGTCTTCGAAATGCACTTTATTGTAATTAAACAAACTGTACCTTATATATGACGACTTTAACAGTGTCTGTTTAGGTATATTAATGGTTATTATTATATGGAAAGCTTCACTTCCGGTGAAATGGCGAACTGTGATTGGGTGAGAAGCACTTTCAGCGGTCCATTATTTTCCCGTATAGACCGGTGGTTCATTAGGTAAAAACAAACGCATGCATTTTAAAACAAAACAGCGAAACTAATTGAAAATTTGAAAATTAATTTGTTATTAACAAGATATCTGCGAATGATTTTTAGTGGAAAAGAAGGAATACATTGGTATTTTTTGTTTTCTTCGACCAAATGTGTACCACGCTACTAATGTACATTTCAAATAATGTATTTCTTGTTTGTTTCTAATATAAATGTCTATAAATTCCATATAATAAACTTTTTATTAACCTCGCTTGCTCGGTATGTACAGAGGAATTTCGGACCTCGGTCGTTTTGTACAAACCTCGCCCTACGGGCTCGGTCCGATATTTCTTTGTACAGACCTCGCGTTTGGTTAATAAGACGTTATTGTTGTTTGTATTTTATCAACTATTTATCGGTCACAATCGGCGTAAAATGGGGTAAAGGTGGGATAGAGCCTTCATGTGGAAATTTTATCCCACTTGACTGAGATCCCACCTAATGCAAGATGCATGAGATATTGCCTAGCTGGGCTGGCTCGTTTCTCATGCGAACAGAAATTGAGTTTTACGTGCGTTAACAAAGGAATGCGGATCTCACTCAGGGGAGTTTCTGGGTACAGCTGTGCTCATATGAACACGCCCTAAAATACACATTTGGTATTTAGCTTCCATTGTCATGCATGTGCGAAATCGTATAAATCTCCGCTTTTGACGTCATTATGAGAAAGATGTGTTTTGCACTTCACTTAATTGAACTAGATCTCTGCACCGAATTACAGGCCCGCGGTTTTGATTCCTGCCAGAGGACCTATTATAGTGTTGCATTCGTTTGCAACCGTTCCTGGTTAGGTCTTAAATTGGTTATGCATATGCTCAGACACTTAATGGATTATCCTCCAAACCCAGCATTGTAAGAAAGGTCTATTGTCCCATAAATGAACTTCAAGAACTGTCTTGATTGGTCGACAGCCTGCCGGAATGATTTGATACCCACCTGCTAGATTTGATAGCCACCTGCGATAAGCAGTCTGATGACAGTTTTATTTGGCTTTTTTGGTAATTTTTACTCAAAACGTCTGGAAATTTTGGTCAGAGTTCAAAGTTCATGAGATTCAAAATGGCGTGAGTGTATATTTGCGAATAAAACAATACGATGACTTTAAATCAAGATGAAACCCCTTCGGTAAGATAATAGAACAGTTTCTATATTTTGTAAAGTCTTGTTTATGGGACAAAAACGTTACGACATGATTTTTTTCGGTAAACCGCAATTGATATCCAATGGCAATGGAAAATCGATATCCAATAGATTTAATTGGATATCGATTTTCCATTGCCGGGCATTGGATATCAATTACGGTTTACCTCTATATCATGTCGTAACTTATACTCCGTTGGGCGTTTGTATAGGCTACTTTGCCAAGCTAACATGCTTGCTTAAAGCTGGCTCGCTACACTTTTTACACAAGAAGGAAGATTTTCTGATTTGGTCATAAATTTCTGGACGATAATTATTTGTTGAAAAACAAAGAGTATCTGACTTGAACTAAACAGTAACTAAGGAGTTTTGAGTTCTTAAAAACTTCTAACAACCGCTGCTATGGGAACAGAACGTTTTAATACGGTGGATATCAGTTTAAAGTAATTTAACTCGAAAATAAAGTCGGTAATCCCCATTTCGTATTTAATATAGCATGATTTCTTTTGGTATTTTGAATCATTTTAATGATTATGCCAAAATTTTTCAAGATTGGAAAATGTAACAATTCGGGACAATTTTTTTTCCCATGACAGATTTTTTTAATCATTAACAATAATGATTCAAAATACTAAACGAATTCTTTTTGTGAAATCAAAAATGGGGTTAACCGTCCTTATTTTCAGGTTAAATAACTTTAAACCCAAAATATCGACCATATTGAATCATCATTGTTGCTATAACAACGGCCCTTTTTTTCTCAAAAAGTCCAACTGTGTAGTTATTTTTTTCTAGTCGGACGTTCGTTGTCTTTTAACAAAATAGGAATAGTCGAAAAATTCGATCTAAGTCGGCGAACGTCGAGAGTCTCCTTAAACATGTAAATATCGGACAAAAGTTTTGCTGGACTCTGCCGGATGTCTACTTTTTACCGGATACCAGTATCCAATGTTACATTGATTCTTTGTTTATATTTCAGTGATGTAAAGAAATCATGGTTCGCATACCTCCCATTGGGACATTCTCCTAGCAAGGAAGAGGTATTAATTCCCCGTTATGCATTTTCAGCTGATTCATTCATATAAGATGTATTCAAAGTCAAAACTCAAACGTTCGCTGGAAAGTCATGCAGTATACTCTATGTAATTCATAGCTCGACAGTCGTAGTTGGGGTTCCTACGTCAGACAAGCCGTGTTGTGGTATCGGCGATTTGTCGTTGACGAATTCCCGTCATTTTCGCCTATTTCGGATTTTATTTGCTAGTCTAACGCTGTTGTTACGGCATTACTTGTATTTAATTAGTATTTTTGCACAAGTGAATATAACAAATCCTTGCCTATAATTTCCATATTGTTATTGTAAAAAAGTGAAATGACAATATGCAAATTAGGTCAATGCATAAATTAAGCATGCGTGAAAGGCATTGGTTCCAAAAATTAAAGTTTCCGCAGCTATTTAAAGGCCATGTTACACGATGCAATTTTTCTTGCAACTTGCAATGCAATTCTACTCTTGAGAGATGTTAATTAGTGAAATCAGTGAAGAATTTTCGATATGTTGAGAGAACATCAGCGGAGTGTAATGAAGACTCGTATTTGGCAATTTTACATCTCTCAAGAGTAGAATTGCATTGCAAGTTGCAAGAAAAATTGCACCGTGTAACATGGCCTTTAAGGACTTAAAATTGAGCAAATTTACTGATATTTGGACCATTAATAAAACACATAACGAACTTCTCGCCCATGAACTCGAAATGCGTTTTTAAGCTTTTAAAATTTTGCGCGCAAGCTATTTTTGATGCCGATAAAAAAGACACCACCCCCCTGCTCTGGAAAATTTATCTTTACTAATTTTTTTGTTTATTCTACATTACAAGTACTCAAACAATCTATAAATTTGTCAAAAATTTCATGACATGAACGGATTTGTGAAATTGAGAGCCGTGGTTTGAATTTTATATGATGTAACACCCGCCCCTTGTAGAAATCAGCTCAGAGTTGTTGGGGCTAGCGTGTGATTTTTAAATGAAGATTTACCATTTGCCTACTTACCTACCTACCCAGTACCTGCCACCTACCTATACGTACCTAATTCTATAAAAACATACTGGCAGGTTCGGTGAGTCCGGGATTGGACGCACCTGGGGTGGCTGGAAGTTTGGTTTTTATCTCATTTCCCGAAGTTTGGTTTTTATCACATGCCATTTCGATAAAATACTAAAAAGTACTGAAGAATTTTATACGCTTTTTAGTATACTGTAATTTCGTGTTTGGATAACGAACATTTTAGCAGCCAACATAGTACGCAAACAAACAAACTTAGGCTTATATTAAAGCTAAACAAATTCTCTACAATATTCCCTTGTTGTTGAAAAGAGAAAATGAACACATTCTGCGAAAACAATGCCAAGATTTATATAAACCTACCCGTGCCAAACAAATTTCGGCGGCCATCTTTCTTGTCTTCCACTTTGAATACAGAATCTTCCATTTTCACCGAACAAAATAAAAAATATAAGAATTATAAAACAATTAAAAACAGTTAATTTATTTTTTATTTAAATCTTCGTCTGAAATTTGTTCAAATCGCTTCATAATGGCCGCCGCCGAAACATCGATCTCGAACCCACCTCCTAAACATAGCCAATAGGAAAGCCGCTAATACGCTAGGTATGAGATAAAATGGCAAACCCACCAGAATTCATTTTCTATTATTATTTTATACTTTGCATTGCATTGTGTTGTATTTTATACTATATTATATCTTTTACTTGACATTGTCGAAATTATGATAAATTTACACTTTCTTCTTGTGTTTTTTTGTAGCCATTTTTTATTGTTATTAAAGAAAAACCACTCGGTACAATCAAAGCTGACATTGTTCATGCTTTCTTAACCGTAAGTTTAAATTCTAATTTATTGTTTTCTTGCTTCATTTTGGGTTCGAACTAAATCCGGATCCTTCCTCCTGCCGAAGAAAACGTGTCTAATTGTTTTCGTATCAAATGAGTGCGACTGTAGCTGCCACGTTTTTTGGGCGAGAGGAAGGATGCAAGTGCGATTTTGGTAATCGTCGTGGGGTGAGAGTCCGACCCTCGCTTCTTGCTGGATCGTCCATGATAATTAAGATTTCAGTTTGGCTGATATTGATCAATGGCTTTTCACGTGCAAGTGAGTCAGGGCTCGAATTTTATCGCGGCAACTGCCGTAGAGGGAGAACAAAATGCCGTGGATCATTGCGGCAACGACGGCAATTTTTTGCAGTATAGTGCAATTTTTATTCTATTCACTGTGCATTACTACTTTGATACTTCAATTCAGATGTTCGTCAAATCATGCGTAAACCACTATTTTAGTCTAGTTTTCTTCAAAATAAAAACACTAAAGAAATACGTAGACACGTTTCTAGCTTGTCAAAAATCCAAAGTAACAATAAAATTAAAGTTTTATTACAGTAATTTGACAAATGCTGTGGAAACTGCCAAAATTGCCGTAGACAGCTGTTACGTTCTACGGCAATTTTAACGCCATTGCCGTCGATTGATTTCAGGGAAATTCGAGCCCTGAAGTGAGTTATGTTTGGTTATTACTAATTGACTGTTCGAGATCGTAATCCTCTATCATTTGTAGATGAAATTTCGAATGTCAATTATATATACACATTTTTAAACCTAAGCAAGAGCAGTTGTGAAAATTGCGAGCTATATGACGCAGTTGGTTAGAGCGCTGCACCGGAATCGCACGGCCACGTGTTCGATTCCTGTCGGAGGGCATGCATGTAGGCCGGTACTTGCATTTTTCGCAGCTTCTCCTGGTGTAGGTCTAAATTAAAGATGATTTCCACTCTGTTCTGCGCATCAGTTCTGCTCATAACAAAGTGGGACCCCTGATATAAAGATTTGCATCTTTTGAACTTTTTTGAATTGAAACGTACAGTTTATATTCATTTACAAGCATGGCGAACCAGAAAAGTGTTAGATATTCAGTTAGTATATCATATTTTACAAATATAGCAGTTCAAAACGTAAACAAAGTTCGCACATGCGCACACGAGTGGACATCATCTTTAAGGTTACAGAACACCTTTGAGTGTTAATTTGCCTAAATTTTATTATTGGTTGCCATGAAAGCATTAGACTAGTTCTACTATTTGACCAAGTTTGAACGAAAAATGTTGAAAACTCGCGCAGAGTTATTTAATAAAATACATTTTGCTGCAATAAGCGGAATGACGAAATAAACAAAGATTTCCGAACGCAATTTTTTAGAACAACTATTTTACTGTATAAAAATTATATTTTCATAAATATATCTTAAAACCAGCAGCAAAACAACTCAAAAGCGTAAAGGTACGCGATTTAAGGTTTTCCTGAATAATTTCAACATTATTTTATTGTTTGTCAATTTTACAACTTTACCTTTTTTTTGCATGCACTTGCAAACATTTGGTAAAACTGTCATTTATGCGTACAGTAAATTTACACTCGAAAATCGAAATTTCGAGTCTCTAGCTCCGTTGATTGGAGCGCTGCACCGGAGGCGTAGTGCCACAGGTTCGAATCCTGCCAGAGGGCCTATCGTTGTATTTTTCCAACTGATACTCATAGTGATTGGGTCTGAAAATTGTATATAAACCTTTTGCTCAAAATTCCATGTACCAAAAACTCATATTACAAAAAACAGCATTTTGATTGGCTTCTCATCCTTGGACCATTAAGCCACGGACCGCGGTTAATAATAATATTTATAATATAGCATTTGTAAATTCTGAACGCTGATTGGCTAAGAGCCGTGTTGATATGACTCCATGTCAACACGGGAAATTTTCCGCCGCTTGTAACACGGAAATTGTTCTTATTCTTCGGGCTTTGACATTGCTATATTATAAAACAAATATAAAACATTTTTTCCGTATTGATATATAGTTATATCAACACTCGTGGAAGTTGGGAAAACTCGAAATTGTGTGAAAACACGCCCTTCGGGCGTCGTGTTTCCACACAATTTCTCGTTTTCCCAATTTCCACTCGTGTTGATATAACTGTATATCAACACGGAAAATGTTTTATATTTGTTAAATAGAGGATATTAGACGGTTGCGAGGAGATATGGATTTTATTTCCAGTGGCAAAAACAATATACAAGGCTTTTTTCTTTGTGTGCTTTTTGAAAAAAGCTTTGTTTATACAAGGCTTTTTTCTTTGTGTGCTTCGAGATTTCCCCCCCCCCCTGAAAACAACTTCCTTATAGTTTACGTGTTAAATTTTGTCTTTGCATTTTTACAGTTATTTGTAAAGGGTTGTTTTGCGTTCATTTTATACAACTGTAACGTTTTGGGAAACTATATTGTTTGCAATTTGAAAACATGAACTATTCTCTCACATCTCTCTTAATTGTGCCATTATGAGTGTATTCAATATTCAACGCTTCAAATTGTTTCAGATACCACATGTCACGCACCACGTCACATCATCTACAACGTTCACGGCCGAATACGGTAAACACAAAGGTACAGTATCGTGAAAAGCTCTATATGCTAACATATACACAGCGTGAAATCATTTTCTTATTTTAAGACAAAAAATACTTATTTTGAGAAATATTTTGAGTCTTAAAATACGAAAATTTTACTTGGGAGAATACGGAGGAAAATTTTCCTTAAGAAAATTCCGTAAGAAAGTGTATCTTAAGGCAAGAATTATTTTCTTGTTTTAAGAAATCCATAAGAAAATATTTCTTAAGGAGGCTCCTTACAGTTATTCTTGTTTACGCAATAATTCCGTAAAACAGGCTTATTCGTGCAGAACGCGAATTCTTTTCGACTTGGTGGCAATATTGGTCACCTAAGGAATATTTCGAACTAGATTTCGACAACGTCGGTGTTCCCATGGCAACATGACGACAGCATAAAGCCTTCCAATTTAACCCATAAATGTGCCGCTATCTCAAAAACGATGTCGGTGACCTATCTTTTTTATTTCATATATCAATAGGGAATGATGCTATGCAACTGTGGTGAAAGTTTAAAAAATTCTGTAGTGTGTGATTTTTTAAAAGCGAAAATTTTATTGCGAAATTTCCACACTAAAGAGTTTTTAACAATTGGAATTTATAAAATTTACCGCAAAATAAATTCGTGGTCAAAATTTGAAGATTGGTCACCGATGAAACTAATGAGTAAAATGCAAATAAAGTTAGAAAATAGCCTCGTGTAACTCGAGAAATTCCCCTTATTGACAGGTGGACGTGTTTTCTTGTTTCATGTTTGGTTTTGTACTTTTTGCTAAAAATGAACAATTAGGCTATGAAACTGAAATATTTTTCTGTTTACATATAATCACTTTAATCTTGTAGACACACGACTAAAAACGTGAACGTTTTCTTGAGAAGCAAACAACTTTTTGAACGTTTGTGTCCAATTTGGCAAATGTTTTACAGTTGACAGTGTATATTTAAAAAAAATAAATAAAAACATTGTTTCGTAGCTATTTTTTGGTCTAGTGATATAATTCGTATCATATGTAGAATTGCTGTATAGACTCGCAAGTGATTTGGCACTCAAAACGAGGTATTATTCGACGCTTTTTTCCATTAGAAACCTTTTTGTTTTGTTTTGCTCATGCGGTTGCGTGGGATAGTTCAGGCACTGGTCGCGCGAACATCCCGCACGCTACTCCTTAAATTTAAACAAGAAATAATTTCATGAAATAAGACATTTTTTCTTGTGAAGAAAGTGACTCTTTGCTGTATATATGAACATATGGTAGCTTCTCATTATACAATATAGAACTTGATAGAGATTGCTTCATGGAAATTCGCTGTGAAAACAAATGTGTTGAAACAACCAACAAATTGGTTGCCGCAGATCCATTTTGAATTTGAGATAACCAATTTGTTGGTTCTTTTAACTGGTTCTTTTACAGTGAACTGCTGGCGGCCATTTATTCTCCCAAAGCGAGCTAGCGAATGCAATGAGCAAGTTAACTTAGTTTTGTGAAAACAAAATAACAAGAGCGAAAATACAATGCAGAACCACTTCTGATGAACAAATTTGTTTATATTATAAGCACTGAGATTTTTCTTCCATTGAAATAGTACAGCCGGTTTAATTTCTCATCTTTGTATACATACTGTAATAACTATATACTTGTTTAATGAACAACATGAATTAATAATTCATAAAAAGTAATCTACATGCGCGCTAGGAAAATTTCAATAAAATAACGGCGACTCAAAACATTGAGTATTGTTTTAGTGAAGTAAATCTTTACTCGAACAATTGAGTAAACGTGAAACTTTACTCAAAAATTGAGTGAATTTGCTTAATAAATTTGAGTAATTTTACTCAAAAATGTTAAGTCACTACAGCTCTGGGTGCATTATTTTACTCCAGTTTGTGAAGCGAAATACTTTAACATAAGTAAAACCATTCGTAGAACTCAGTTTCTATAAATCAATGATCGATCAAATACAAAATCTTTGGGCTTCCGACTGGTCTGGGCTGATCAAATCAGTAGAAGGTCCATATTTGCCAGATTTTCAACGAGCCTGTACCAGATCTGGTTTTGCCATTAAATGGAAAGGGCCCGTTGGCTACTCATGATGCTTTCTGGGAGATGCTTTTCCGAGGGAAAAATACTTCGGAAATTCTGTACGAAGTCGTACGATCTTTAACTAAGTTGGCGTACGGTCAATATTATATGGATTGAATTTTCCATGCCCACCAAAAATCAGCTATGTAACTATAACACATTTATTGTATCTGGTCTTATAGGCTAGTTGTCCTGCGTGCATATCATATATCATATCATACCATATATAATGAGAGATCAAAAAGTTGAGCGACTACACCCTTTATACTCAACAGTGAATAATCCAGTATTGTTATCATTGTCATTTGTCAGGGTTTTTTTTATCAACCACAGGTAGTTCTATGTTCCGAAAATCTGCAAGGATAGATGTGAATATAGAGGAATCCAGAGACCTTAAGGAATGCAAGAGTGCACGAGGTGTTTTCACCGTGAATGTGAAATTAGTTTCAGGTGAGTTCTTCCCACTATCCAAAAACGACGACTGGATAAACCTTCCTTTTGAATTCAATGAGCCATTTTTTGAAGCCAGAACATTTTCAATAAAGAGTAACTTTTATAAACCTGTAAATACCCTTCAAAAATCGAATCGTTACATGATGGAATTAGTCTTACCATGGTATGAAGCAAATGTCGTTTGGTATACGACTTTAGAAATATAGTTTATAACTCTTATCTCTATTCTGTTTTCTTCCAAAAATAGAATAGAGATAAAATGAGTATTAACATCATTGTGAAGTCATCAAGCAAAAGCTCAAGTGATCACGCAACTTCGTTAATGATTGCATTTTAAACCATGGTACATGGTTGAAGAAAAAGATGACGGAAAACCTTTGTTTTGCAAAGGTTTTGAGGGAATTTTGTCGAAAATTATTTCTCCGAAGAACAAAAAAACTACAAAAAATGATCTGAAGACGTTTAGTGGTAGGGAACAACGTAAATCTCCTGTTACTTGCCAAAAAAATAACACGAATACAGAATGGAATTACTGACCGCATTTTTTGTCCATATATTACAAGCAAAACCGATTAATTTTCAGCTGCTTATATAATTCCTTAATCATGTTTTCCTCGTCTTTTAAGTGTTTCTTTATCTAAATGTTATTTTATGTTAAGTGCATGTATATAACAGAAATAATTTAATGCCCTTTAAAAGTTTTTTTGTGTGCTTCAGCATTTCCCGCCTAAAAACACTTTACCATAGGCGTAACAATTTAGTTTATTGGGCAGTCGGGCAAAATTCGATCAACAGTCGGGCAATTTTGGTTTGTAATAAAAATAAATGGGACAAATTCTGTCAATTTAGCGGAAATTCAGTCGATTTTGTGGTCATTTTTGTGTTGTTTCGAAAATTTGTATGATGTTCGGAAAAATTTTGGTATGTGCGGAAAAATTTTTGGACCCCTAAAATGGTACACTGACCGAAATTTTTTTGGCGACGGTGGGGGGGGAGGTCGCCAAAATAATTTTTCCCGAAAAAATTTTTTCGGTACTAGTCGGCAAAAATCCGGAAAAGTCGGGCAAATTTCTTTCAGCCCCCCTAATTTTTTCCTTCCGGTACGCCCATGCACTTTACTAACTTATAGTTATAGCTTCGAGTTTTTTGATAAATTTTAAATGTAAGATTTTGTCTAATATGCATTTCAGGTGATAGTATTGTTTTTCACAGTTATTTTGTCGTGTATTTCATCGATTTCAACGACATTAGGATTGCTTTTCGTGCATTTTGTACGTCTTTTTTAACGTAAACGTCTGCGACATGTCGGAAACCATGTTGTTTACAGTTTGAAAACATCATTCTTAAGTTCTGGATTTTTAGGCTTGTTTCGTCCTCTTATACTGTTATAGTTATCAAAACATCGCTTTTATTTTTCCTTAATATTATGACTGTTATACATAATATAATGTATATAATATTTTTTAAAGCTCACGAGCTGTGTATTTTTGAAACTTTGTTTGGGGTTGTTTGCAAAAAGTAAACAAAAAGCCGCAGGCGAAGCATGTGAAGGTTGAAATAAATCATTCAAACGCTCGTGCATCCATGCTTTTAATTTTTTATTTATATCTTTCCAATTGTGCTGGGAGTTTGTATGTTGAGTAAGAGTGTATACTAAAACAATTAGACAACTCGCGGTCTCGTTTTCTATGCTGAATAGTCAATTCAGGCTACATTTCGTTGACTATCGTTGTCCATGGCGAATACTCAACTACGCCTCATTGTCTATATGGCGAATAGTTTGGGAATTGAATTCGTTGTCTAATTGTTAAATGAGCAGGCCGCTATATCTGGCTGGAGTCGCTGGACCAATTCCTGCTATTCATACCTGCTTTGTTAAACGTATATATACATGTTACTTGAGCTGTTACGAAGTACTGTAGTTCGATAATTCGTTTTTGAATGTAGATAGCTCGTTAAAACGGTTGGGTATTTTAATGATAATTTTCGCTTTGGGTTTCACTCTTTGTTTGCTTCCTAGCCTAAAACGTTCAACACAGTTTGTTAATCTACATTTTCAGAAACACTTGCTATAACTTTGGCAACTCTGTTGAAATGCTTTTGCAGGCCTACATGCATATATGGATCAGGTTTCACAACAGTAACCTGCATGGAAGATATATAATAGAACAATATGATTCTAGACTTGAAGAAATAAAACAGTCACCTTGAAATTTTCAATCGTTTGAGTTGCTAAAAAAATCTGTTATTTACCTAGCTTAAGAAATGATAAATTTAATGACAAAAAGACACACGCTAAATTCACAGTGTTAGCAACACGGGTATAAAGTATGGATTCCTTTTTCCAACAAAGACTGATACTGGTGAAAAACAAATTTAAACTGTTAACAAATTCAAAAGTAAAACATAAGTAACTATTTTTTGTCAAGTCCGCGTACTAGATTGAGAACATATTAAGCTTCTTCATGCAAGTCGACGTCTTATATACTCCGTTGACTTTTTAAATATTCATTTCTTCTCTACAATAATATGACTTTCATTGCATTACTGCTTGCTTAAGGTTCTCAATATTTTAACACAACCCCAACATTTCAAATGTGCTCACAAAATTTTTGAAATGTTATTGCAGTATTTTCATTTATTTTTATCAGTGAAAATGAAGCAATCTGATTGGCTGGGGAGCATCCGGCCCGCTCTGAAACGCAACTGCCCGCTGTGAAATGCAACTGCCCGCTCTGGGTTTCGCGCCAAAGACCGAGGAGTGAAACCATTTTTAAACGAAAAAATCTGCCAAAAAAGTTTGAAAAACATAGCCTAACGATAGTCAGAATACGAAAATGAATTGCATCAAGCCCTAAAGACTTCATACTAAGAATGATGTTCATCAGAATTGACAATATTTTGATAGAAATGCGACTGAAAGTTGGAAAGTTATTTGACATATATAAAACTTACGGCGAGAAAACTATACATTTTTTAAATGCTCGATCATGTATTCGGCCACTTAAAAGCGAAAAAATTACAGCTTAAACAGATATTGTAAAATAAATGTTTTCCCATTTAAAAGAAGGTTTAACTGCAGCAGTAAAAACAAGTCACGAATATATTCTCTGCCCATTTGTGTCATGCATTTTTAACTGATATAAATATAATTGTAAACAAAGTAAAAATTTGTGTTTAAAAACACTTTTTTCAAGCATATTATCGTGAAACGACAAGCAAAAATACAAAAATATAAAAATAACATATCTTTTTCATTGTTTTTTAGTAGAAAAACGTTGATTAAATCAAAACAGATTCATTTTTATATGTTTTTGATCGGATCTGAATTTGAACCTGTCATTGTCAGGAGCAACTGATTTTGCCAAAGCGAAAACGCCAGGCATAAAAGTTTTTATTCCAAAGCTTCTCTGCTACCATATTCAAGAAAAAAAGCATGTACATTTTTACTGAAACTATATGCGTCTTTTTGTGTGTTTCTTGCCAGTTTTTTCGAGTTTTCGTATTCGTGTTTTATATCTTTCAACTTTTCAATTTTTGTCAGCCTCGCTTTGAAAATACACAACTGCACTGATCTCAAATTTCTCAAATTAGTTCGCAAGCAACAGTGGAATTTTAATGAATTTAATTTTTACATCTGATAAAAAATAAACACGTTATTTACCGGTCCGGATGAGAAAAACTGTGCCCTCGGTCTTGAAAACGTCCCTCGCCCCTCGGGCACAGTTTTTCTAATCCGGACCTCGCAGCCGGTAAATAACATATATGTAATTTTCGGAAGCTCTTTTAACCGTGTTTTCCTTATTTACTAGGTTCATCACAGAAGTTCAAGAAACTTTGTGAAAAACTTCAGGCAATCTTACTTTCGCATGACCGCTCTCCAGAGAAAAGTCGTCACAGCACAGCTAGTATTGGAGGTAGTTTAATTGACGGAAGCAGAAAGAAAGAAGAACGACCAACGATGTCAAGTGCATATGTTGTATCAGACAGTGAAAGTGAAGGAGATTCGCTATGTTCCCCTGACAAGGAAGGTAATCGTACGTAAAGAAACGAATTTACAAACATAATGTTCAAAAACGATCGTTCACCAGATGTTGATAATCGTACTAAGGTATTCACGATCTACGAAGTGGAAGCTCGCAAAACAAAGGATTTTTATAGGAGACAAAAATCTTTGACGCCAAACGTATCCTCCAAGTGTTGTCATCTATGAGCCTCAAGTAAGCTCGTTGCTTTAATTTAGGCATAAACAATTGGAAGGAAGTCTATGCTTTAAGACCTTTGAGGTGTAAGTCAATAGACGTGTTTTGAAAATTCGACAATCCAAGCAAGCGTCTATAATAATTAGAATGTTATGTTGAGACGACTTCGCACAAATAATTTAAATTGTACTTATTATTGGTTGTTTGCAATCAATTCATTTGGAACTCATTGCATATACCGTGCAGAAATTTTCGTCAACATTAAAAATAACAATAGGATAGAAGAAAGACTTTTTCCGTCTTTCATATATTAATATGGAAGACAGTTAAAGACAATGGTTGCATCTAAAAACTTAAAATGACATCTGATTGTCTAGCATATCATGTTGTACATCGTAAACGGTTTATTATATAGGGTGTATCAAAAAAGGTACAAGTTTGCCATGTTTAATATCGTGCGTCAGGTATAATAAAAGTTTATACACTTACTTCTCTCTGCCAATAATGGACTGTCAATTTAGTCGTCAAAACGTCAAATGACACCATGTTTGTATCATTGCGATCACAAATGGCCATTCGATCCGATTTAGAATGGCCAATTTGATTATTTCTTAAATTGGAAGGTGAAAAGCTTTCAATCCGCGATTCCCCTTATTACGTTTTCGTAGCGCTTTGCATTGTGGTTATAGTGTTATCACTGATATTCAAGATGGTTTATTTTTTGTCCTGAGCCGTGCAAGAACTTTTTAAAAAAGCTAGGGTCAGGTGCGCGATAGCCAACGGCAAAATATTCTCGAAAGCGTTCAATATTTTCATTCGAGGCCGCTATCTTTATCAGTAGTGATACCACTATAACCACAATGCAAAACGCTACGAAAACGTAATAAGGGGAATCGCAAATTGACATCTACAAAGACCTGTCCGTGATCTTATTGAAAAAGAAGTAAATCTATAAACTCAGTATTTACAGCACTAGACATGCCATGAATTACCTTTCTTGATACTGCCTGTATGACTAAATTTGCAAGTGAATCGGGTATATTCATCCACTCCGAGTCCCAGACAAACACCTCAAAGGATTAGTGTTACATGAAATCATGGGCTTTTGTTACTGTTTTTATTCTACCGAAAAAATACCTTGTTTGGTATGTTTCCAATAAGGATTCGACAAAGGAAGCAAGGATTCACAAAGGATGGTTGAAATGTACGTTGGATTAGAAAAAAATTTCTAGATCTATTGATCTACTCCGCCCATAAAATGGTCGCCAGCACGAATTTGAGCCCGCAATGCCATGGTGTGACAGTAATCCTTTCATAAGAATTTTATAGTCAGTTTAAAAACTGTGTTAAATAAATTATTTATTGCGGATAGGGATGGTACCCTTTTGATAGCCGATATCTATTTAACCAAATGTTTAATTGTATACCAGTATTGTAAATAATTTGTTATCGACATCGTTTGTCGACTTAATTTAATGTAGAAGGAATAGAAATGTTATTTAAAATTTAATTTGTACGTACTGTAGAGAAATGTTATTCCTAAATTATAATGCAACTGTTCTTTAAATGTTAGCTTACACCATGTTTAGGCAGACCATTGAAAGTTGGGAACTCGTTGGAAGTTGGGAATCTCACCTGAGAGAAATCATAATGAAACTTATATTCCGTGTGTTGTGACCCGATATTAGCCTGTGTACAACCGTTACTCTCGACGAAGCGCGAGAGAGAACGTCTATGAGTTTGGACGCATAATCCTTGTTCAGGTCACTTGGATAGTTCCCAGATTTGGGGATCGGCCTCTGATTGGACAGTGCTTTATTTGAATAATTTATGACAAATGAAGCTATTTCATTGGTTAATTGATAATTAAACATGCGTTTAAAATAACACAAAAATTTTAAATTCAGATTTCCAGATCAAGAATCAAGATTTCTTTCGGAGCATACAAAAGTTTGAAAGACTTGAAATACAATCAACGATACACCAGAAATATATTGCATATATTTCTCGATGAAGAGATTTGTTTTGAATGCGAACAATGCTGATTACAGAACGATGATCATTGCTGGCAAGTCCGGTGTACAAGCTCTGTTATTGGCGTACATATGGCGTATATTTGTTTACAAAGACAAAGTATTAAATATAAACACAACTGTCATGTTTCGCTCGCTACTCTGGTTTAAATAAATTATTACAAAGCCCAGTCGAATTGTAATCGAGACCCAACTTTTCGACACTCCAGTCTAGTGTCTTCATCAGTGGTGATCTAAAGACGCAATCGTAGCTTCTTAAATACCCAAGGGTTGACGTCACATGCCAATGAGAAGCATGTATTCCTCTTTCAAATAGGCACTGTCATCCCTATTCAAAGCATGATTACTCATATTTATATGCCACGCTTCTAGGCAAAATCTTTGACCATAGCGATTGTTTGTGGTAATCCCCGAGCCGACGGCGCGAAGCGCCGTGCGAGGGTACTAATCCCCCCCGGCTATTTACACCCGGGGAAACGAAAGCATTAGCGAAGTCTAAAGTTCATCAAATATCGCGGGCGTGGCTCACCAACGATGTTTCGGTGGGTGGTCATCCTCACTAATCTCAAAAATATGGCGGACTGTCATGAATAGCGGACACTGATTGGTCCAATTTAAAGTTTGCATTATAACGACTGCATGACGACAGCGAAATAGCAAACAATCAAAGTATCAAACATTTCTTGATTTGATCACTATGATTTGATGATTGATAAAGTTATTGCAAATATATTTCATTTTTGCTCGCATTTTTGCAAGATTTTGTAAATTTCAAAAGCTCTCTCGGAAAGAAACTGCGAAAGAATCGGCTAAAAGAAGGGAGCCGACGTTAACGAAGGTAAGGGAAAGTACATTT